CCAGAACTCTCTGGAACATTCTGGTATATTCCACTATTGTACAAGGGCACAGAGCTCATGTGGGTCAGTGACATCATAGGTGGAGCTCAGTGAGATTAGGGATATTCCACGTAGCTTAGTCAGCCTATGGGCCACAGTGTATATAAACCCTGCAGCTCTGCTGCCTAATGAAAAAGGGTCATTCATATGAGCTTTACCAGTAGCTGTAGCATCCACTCAATACAGGTGAGTTGTGTAGGGCACACTGTGCGTGCTGCTGCCTCCATAACTCTTCATCAAGGGGAGTGCTTACCACAATTTGTGAGAGAGTATCATGCATGGATGCTGTGCTATAACAACATGTCTGTGTTTCTTGGCGTGTCCAGTAGTCCATGCATATACATAAGTGACTGTTGACTTAAAATGTGTGCTGATTGTTGTTTGGTGCTTGTACACTATACTACACACTGGGGAGACCCTGTTCAGACCATCCCCCATCCTGGCAGTGGCTCAATGAGGCTCCAGGAAAGTTACAATTGAAAAGCAGTGGCTAATTAACAAGCGGTCAGAAATTCCACAATCTTGAGTAAAAAGAACCCCTATATGGGGTAACCACAGTCCCAGAAGGGTGTAGCATTAGAATCCATCCTTGGTCAGCACAATGCGAAAACTGTTTTGGAGCCAGCAATGAAAAACACATCTAACCATCACTGAATAGTCCTAAGACCTTACATGTGGTTAGGACAAGTCCAATATCCAGTGCTTCCACGGTTGTGGCAGCACAGACCTGGGAATTATTCACCCCATCAGGAAATGATATATACTGATGCAAAGAGCACACAATTTAGGTTCTAATGAGCTATAACATCATTTTACGCCATTTAGGCAAGCACTTATGTAATGTAGTAAGTACTACACATCACACACCATCCCCAATTTTTTCCATATTTCTAGCTATTTTTCCGAATTTTCTGTGGCCCACCCAGCCCCATTGACCAGAATCTATATATACCCTGGTCCTATTTATAGTCACAGAGTGGCCACCATGGGATCCAGCAATATATTCTGATTTCTTGCGATTTTTCCGAATTTGTTTCAGCTACCCATCCATATGTTCTTCCACAATGCTATGTTTTTCTGACATTCTGATATGTTTTCTCCCACCAGCTTATTCCCCCCTTTGGGCTCAGTCCTCCATGGACCACCCAGTCCAACCCTGGTCCCCATGAGATCCAGGGGGTGGCATTATTATGTAGGGCAAGACCCCTTACTGCTGATACTGTAATACACTGGGCAGTAATTACTGCTTTGCATTACAAAAGTGCTACAGATGGCCTCACTGCCCCGCATTCATAAGATTCTATTCAACTGTGTGAAGGGTAAGATCTTTGCAAAGCTTGACATGACTAACTCTTTCTTCTAAACATGCCTGCCCCCGGCAATGTTTCCTATGCTTGAGGCTCATGATGCTGCAAGGGGGGAGGAATGCTCCTGCTACACACCAAGACCACATGTTCAGAGCTCTATGGAGGTATACTGGCAAAATCTGCCACATATACCTTGACAATATTGCCATCTGGTCGCTGATGATTGAAGACACTGTGAAAATGTTCACCTCATCCTTGAAGCACTATGCATGGCAAGCCTTTTCTGCTCACTTAAGAAGACTGAACTATTCACCACCAAGATTAAGTTCCTAGGACATATTATCCAAGTCTCTGCCTGTGGCATTGATGACCCTCTTACAGAGACTCAGGATTGGCTAAGTCGCTCCGGAGCTCCTGTTCGCGGAGATAAATCACGGAATGGGTCCGTGTACGCCTCGAGGATGCTAGGAAGTCCGGAGCTAAAGAGAGCAATTCTTTAGAGCCCATGGACGCCTAGAGGCATGTGAGCGCTGATAAGCCTCAGGATCATCTGACCCCCGAAAACACGGACTCCGCACATCATACAAGCCCCCCGGAGCTTATTCGACACAGCGCTCTCACGCCTCTAGGCTTCTATGGGCTCTAAAAGACTTTTTTCTATTTCGCTCCGGACTTCCTAACATCCTCGAGGCGTACACGGACCCATTCTGTGATTTATCTCCGCGCACCGAAGCTCCGGAATGACTTAACCAACGCGACTTCTAGCTGAATTAGCTCCGGGACCCGCGGACACTTCTATCGAGGGGCGTCGTCCTCATGCCCACCCTCCAGCACTCACTCCCCCCTCGTTTCTGTCAAGATAGCGAAGGTGCGGACGCATACGAGTCACCATGAGGTCAGCATCAGTCAGCAAGCGGCCGGAGGTAATTAGCACGTGATCGGCGTGTCGCACGGAGTGATGGGACCGCTTGGGTCAGGTGGCGGAGCATTGAGGCGACCTATAGGGGCTGGAAAGAGCAAGTGGGAGCGCAAGAGAGTCGTATGGTGTATGGTATAGCGGAGGAAAGTGCTGAGCAATCCTGTGGGTAGCGGCGTTTATTTGTTATTTATCTCCGAACGGTCGCAAAGCCATTCCTGTAGTATAAGTTGTACAAAGTAGCATACAGAAAAACAAGTTTTCGACTTCACCGTCTCAGAGAATTAACGTTACGATCTCAGCGACCCGAGAAGTTCGAAAGCGTCGAACTTAGCGACTTATAACCGATCCTAGCTTTGCCAATAGGCCTGACTCGTCGAGAGAAATATCTCCGCCATCGATTTAACTAGTTCCGGTGAGGTTCACATAGCGAAACAAAATTAAGCAACTCTTTCTAGCGTCTTCTACTCCCGTGAGCCCGAACCTACACTCGATTCCATGGTTTGCGACTTTGCTTGCGCCGTTTCGGAGATAAATACTCCAGAGCGTCCACTAGTGTTTGTTTCAGGCATCAAGGTTTTTGTTTTATTTTTCTAGGTCTTCCTACGGACTATCCTACGGCGTCTTACTCCTCCTTTCCCCTCGAACTATAAAATACCCCTCAGTTGTCTCGGACCGCCTTCACCCATATCACGGGGTTTAGGTTTATTTCCTTTGGTCCTTGGTGATTGTTGTGTGTCTGTGCATATCAGTGCTGTGTTGAATAAGCTCCGGGGGGCTTGTACAATGCGCTGAGTCCGCGTTTTCGGGGGTCAGACGATCCTGAGGCTTATCAGCAGGATTGCAATCTGCAAAACCAACTACACCACTGGGTGTGATGGTCCGCACAGCCTCTTCCTAGTGTATAGAGTGGTGTACCACCAAGGCACAACAATTCCCACATAATTTAAGTCACTGTGCATGGAGATATAGAGATGCACTATCAGTCTGACCGAAAAACACAAAGATGTTGCTATACCACATGAACCACACATGATATCTTACTGCAAATACTTCTTAGCACCTCTCTAGGTATGCCCATCAATCATCCATCTTGTTATGGGTCATGGTCTCCACTTTTGTATACAAATCCTTGGCCTGTCCCATAGGATGTTGTACAAGGCTAGCAGAAGGTTTTGTATACATCTGAGGGGGGTTTTGTAACTGATTTGCAGATGATTTGTGGATGGTTTGTGGTGT